GACAGCGAGCCGCGCCGCTGTCGAATTCCGACACGCGGATGTCGTGGTCGCACATCCATGGGCCCCGATTCGGCATGGCGACGAGGGCCAAGGCATGCCCCGCGGCTGCGCTTGAAGAGCGCCGCGTTCACGCAGCCGCCGAACTCGCGGGCGCGCGTTGCATCCTGCGCGATGACCTCGCCCTGCGGGCCACATCCCACGAGTGGCCGCGTAGCACCCGCGCTCGAAACGTGAAGCTCAATCTCTCCGAGCAGCGCCTTTCTCTCCCCAGTCACCACACTGCCGACAAAGATGTTCTCCCCGACGACGTCCGCGACGAGGCAGCTGTCGAGAGGGCGCGGGGCGCGCCACGGCGGCGCCGACGTGCCGTCGAGCACGCGCCACGGCACAAGTGCATCTGGCGAACTCCCTTTCCTCCAGCTGGCGAGTCGACATCCAAGTCAAATTGCTCATCGCCCCCAAAGACCTTCGGCTCGACCTCCTCGCCACCCGCGCCCACTGGGCCTGGGGGGCCCGCGTCGGCCAGGCCCTCCGTCGAGCAGCCCAAGAACGACGATGCTCTGAGAGCGCGGACCTCTCGCTCTAAGGCGTGGGCCCACATGGCTACGGATCTAAGACTGGATTGGGGGTGGCACCTCTGCGCCGCGCGGATTTCAACTGGCGCCCCCTCTGCGCGGCCTCAGTCAGCGACCGACATGGCGAGCTTTCCGATTCGCGGGGGGTCGATGGCGGACGCGGTATCCAACGGCGCCTCGACGAACCAGCGAGGCCGCTTGAACGGCAAACGACGCTGCCACGAACCTCCCCACACTCCTCGCCCCCCCCCCCCCCCCCTCCCCACGTGCGCACCGACGATTACGAAAGGACGAGCAGGAACAATGATGAAGGATGATCAGGGCGAAGGAGGAGCAGGATAAGGGATGAGCAGGAGAAATGATGAGCGCGTACAAAGTATGCCAGCGACCATGGCATCGAGCATGAATTGGTCATCAGCAGCCTCTCGTTGTTCAGCTTCGCTGGGGCCATGGATGGGGACCTTGCAACTCGGCGATGCAGAAGGAGCAGCAGCCCCCGCCGCCTTCACAGGCGCGCTGAGCACCACCCCCGCAAATCGCAATCGAATGAAACCAAAGGCACGGCAGCGGCGGAAGCCCAACACACCTGAAGCACAAATTGCCACGGCGAAAAGGAGATGGCGAAGGCAAGGGAACCTATGTGAGGACGGGCGCATTCGGATATGCCGGAGGCTTTCTGAAGCGGCATTGGGCGAGCGCCGCGGGGTAGCCATCTGGGCCGCGGGGAGTGCGAGGCGCCGTAAAGTACCGAAGGGGGCCTCAGGGGGCCGCGCGCGAGCGCGGGGCACATCGGGGAGCTTAGGGGGGCGCAAGGGGGGCCGAGGGAGGGCGCGGGGGAGCGCGGGGGAACGCGCGGGGGCGCAGGAAACCACGCGGGGACCGCACGGGGGCGCAGGGGGCCGCACGGGGGGCGCAGGGGAGCGCAAGGGACCGCAGGGGGGCGCAGGGGGGCGCATGGGGAGCGCAAGGAAGAGCAGGGAGCGCAAGGGAGCGCAGGGGAGCGTAGAGGGCGTAGGGAAGCGCGGGGACGTCGAACCCCACGGCCCTCCCGCTTCCTCCAATGCCTCGGAAGTCTGACCCCTGGCCCCCCGACTAAGAACCCCCCCCCCCCCCCCCCCCCCCCCCCCCCTCCGCATGAACTCTCAACGCCGGGGCATCGCCAACGCCCCCTGTACCTGCAGCCCCCCACGCACCCCTCGCCCCTAACTCCTAACCCCTCTCGCTCATCAGCCCATCGTCCATCATGCCACGGAGCGCCTCCGCCTCCTCGTCATCTTCCTTTATCCCACCCCCCCCCGCCACCACCGCCACCACCACCGCCGCCGCCGCCACCACCACCACCACCGCCACGCACCCCACCCCGCCCCACCCGTTCCCTGACTACATTTGCCCCACCTCATCGTCGCTCGAAAAATGTCGCCCAGAGTGACGATGCACAGAAGTCGGTCACCGTGATGTCACTCGAACGCTGCCTTGCATCATCTGACGCCTATGCCCACTCACTTAGCTGCTTACACCTCCACTGCCTTTACGACGCGTTGGGATCTAAGTACGTCGAGACGACCCTCTCCACCGGCCCGCTCGGCGCTGCGCCCCTCGTCGCCAAAGCCGCGAGCGCCTCGGTCACCGGGGCCACCGCGGAGCCGATTGCCGAGCGGATTCCATCCCGAAGATAAACGCACACTTGTCTTTCTGGCCCTCGAACTGGCGATGGGGACGGACACGGAAGTACAGAACCAAGTCGCAGATGTCGGAGATGCCCCAGAGGCTCAGCAAGTCAGACTTGCTGAGCCTCTCGTCCCAATGCTGCTCTCGCACGTTTTTGTTTGGCACATTCTGCCCGCACCTCCGTCGATGGGCCCCCCTCTTTCTGCCACTTGTTTCGTCGCCCCGTGCTCCAGGACTGCCATGAATAACATGATGCGTGGAGCGCCGCGTTCTTCGCGGTTGTGTTCTCCACGTTCGGCGCAGCTCTTTCTATATATGCGCCCTCCTCGTTGCAGGCCACTCCTCCCGCGACTGCGGCTGCGATCCCCCCCTGGCCTGCGCCCATCTCGTAGCGCAACCAGCACGTCGCCCCGAGGTCTGCGAGCTCTCGATTTCTGACGAAAATGAACCCGCAAATTGCCAGGGTGATTTTGTCGAATGGGACTCGACCTCCTTGGCCGTCCGCCCGTTGATTCTTCTGTATCTTGGAGTCGGGCTGAAATCCGTTTGCAGCGGAGGCGCTGACACCGCTGCGCCCAGCAAGTATCTGGAGAGCCTCGGTTTCCAAGGTAGATCCCCATCGGGCTTCGGTGGTTACACTACGGGAAGCAGATGCAAATGGCGCGATTTCGACCGGAAGATGGCTCCTGAGATGACGCCAAACAGAGAGCGCACCCACCCCAACGACCACACAGCACACGCGTTCGTACGACGGGGCCACGAGCGAATGCAAAGTGCGGGGGCCAAATGCCATACAGTTCCCTTTTCTGCAGCGAACGTAAGAGATGGCGGGCTGCTTTGACGGGCGTCGCAAAATTTTGAAGGCAGTGCATGCACACGTTGCTCGGCGTGAGTAGATGTGCCACACGATGTGGATTATGACAGTGGCGTCGGTGTTCGACTCGTGTGTTGCGGGTACTGAAGACACTCTTGCAGAGTTCCCCATCGAGGTCCATCGGGCACCGTAAGGGCAACGCATCCTCGAAGTGTTCTTCGGCATGTGTTAGGAAACCTGCAGGATATATATATATATATATATATATATATATATATATATATATACCAGGAGGAGGAAGACAGACCGAAAATGTTGACTACGAAGTTTTGTCTGATCCACCCTTTGGAAAAAAAAACTAAAACTTCCGAATCTGCACATAATCACAGGTCACACGAAACATCTCGCACACCTTCGTATGGAATAAGCCTGGAAACTCGATTTAGATCAACTGCAGCCGGTGTTGTCCACAGCGTAACCTGTGCGGTCGGTCTGCCCTCGCATAGCTAGGGCGTTATCGACTCGATGGGCGGCGACCCGAACAGCGTTCCTCCATATGTGCACTCAACGACTGATACCCCTGAACTCTGCGAGTCATCAGCTCTGGCGAGGAGGGGACAAATTTCCAATGTTCAAGTACCTGCTTGTTGGACAACGACGTCACGCGAGAGCTCTCCCACGGCACTGTCTTAGTAGCATAGCTATACGCCCCAGACGAGCCAGGCACACATCCAAGATTACAGCATCCGCACGGAACTCTCCAAGCCACTCAGCAAAACGTTCTGGATGAATCGGGTGAAAAGAATGCGCTTCCATCTCTAAGGAGCTCCCAGACTCCAGGCCCTGCCCAAGGAGAAGAAACCAGAACGAGCGGCAGTACGCTTCCTGGAAATCTCAGCCCTGGCTGAATCTCTCAACTGCAGGGAGGCCCAAGGTACATAGCTCGTTTCTTGAGGGATCCTTGGAGAAGATGTCGGTTTTGTCGGAGCAACGATATGCAATGATATACCCGCGCGCAACGGAAAAAAATGTACTCTTGTTTGGACGCACTCTGGCCATAGCCGTAGTCCACAAGATAAGAATCCAATCGAGCGTCTACATCCGCAATTTTGTCAGTGAAAACCATCAATGACATCTGCGGATCCGCCTGGACAGAACTGTTGATGTCATCAACAAACTTGTATGTATAAAGATCTGCATGAAATCCCAGCCACGACGCTCGCGGCATCTTCGACTGCTCGTCGGCGCCGGAAAATCGCCACATCTCCAAGGTAAAACTGGGCGTCTGAATGTTCCCACAAAGGCTCGGACAGCAAATGGATCCCGCATCGTTTTCCCCTTGGTTAGGTCGAACTGTGGGAGGGCCCTCCAAAGCTTCCAGCGAAATAAATTCATTATTGCAGCGATGTTGGCACAGTGCGCGATCACACTCACGAGAATAAAGGTGTACAGTAGTGTCAAGCTGGTCCCAGAAAGAGCTGCCGAAGGCGTTGGACATGTCCTTCAGCGTCATGGCCTGTGTCAAGCCTTGGGCTCACAGCCGCCACGAAGTTCCCCACTCGCCCATGGCAGCGTCCTCCCGTCGACGATGGCGAAAGTAGCCATGATAGGAGCAGGAGGAGGAAGGGCGAGTTTGTTTCCCGCCGAGATAAACAGGGGGACGGGGCAAAACTAAAGACCTCCCGAGTCGGGGGCGCGCAAACATGAATTAGCGATCCATGGATTTGGCGCGCGGTCGCCTAATCCATGGATCGGGGGAGGTGCCCTCCCCAAAATGCGGCTGGTACCGCCTCGTTCAGCGGCGGAAATCCGAGATTTCCCATGGAAAACGAGACCCGTCGCTAATCCACGCCCCCTTAATCCATGCTTGCGATCGCCTGACTGAGGTTCCCCCCCCCCTTCACCATCACACTCCGAGAGACAGCGCGCGCGGTGTCTGGCGC